TAGTGCCTAAGGCACTTGACTGCTCACCAGAAGGCTGGCAGTTCAAACCCACCAGCCACTCCTCAGAAGGAAGGTTGGGCAATCCTACTTCCATACTGATACTGCCTCGGAAACCCAAGGAGGGGTCGCTATGCCTCGGAAACCCAAGGAGGGGTCGCTATGAGTCGGAGCTCCACCGCAAACAACAACAACAATTTTACAGATGAGTCTGCTTTAACTCATTTAGCACTACCAGGGCTTCTGCCAGAGGCTAAGTAATTTGCATTGTTTTTTGAAGCTGACTTAGTGGAGCCAAGATCCACACTTAGGCTCCAAAATTCAATACCTTGACTACTACACTATCCTGCCTTTGCCACTTACATGTTGGCAGGAGTTGCCAGAAAAGTACCAACTTAGACCCATATAAAACATAAGACATTGAGTGTATTATAATGCTAGTATCAAGGCAAAAACCAATGCATTCTTAACTTTCTGTGTGTGATTATAATGACCCATTATATATCATAGACATAGTGAAAGCTTAATTTAACTACATTTCTATATAATAAGATAGTCTGTAATAAGATTTTTTTGTCTGTTACTACCTTGTAAATCGCTGTAAAGAAGAGAATCATAGAATTAGAGTTTTCTGCTACTGAAATGTTGAAGTAGAGGCTCATATTAAAAATTCAGACTTCAAGAAACAAAGGTTGTTCTTATTATTTTTTAATATGCTTAGGAATCTTGTCAAAATGACCTTTGCATAGAAATTCTGATTCATTAACTCTGGCATGGGATTGGAGCCAAGATACTATATTGTATTTTTTACAAGGACCCTTGATGAGTCCTTTAGGAGTCACACTTTGAGAAACAATGAAATGTTGAATTCATTGACCTTTATCTGTCATGTCTTTCAATAGTAACTAAAATTTTATAGGACTTTGTGATTATCCTTCATAATAAATATTGGTGGGTGCCTTTAGGGCACCTGGCACATTTCCTTGCCTAGATGCTTCTCTGGGAGCTCTGCTGGCATACTGCCTAAGGCATTTGGCTGCTAACCAAAGGGCTGACAGGTGCTAGGCCACTCCTCGGGAGGAAGGTTGGGCAATCTACTTCTGTAGTGATACTGCCTCGGAAACCCAAGGAGGGGTCGCTATGAGTAGGGATCGACTCAACAGCAGTGAGTTGAGGTGCTTCTTTGCCTTTGCCAGAGCTATTCCTTCTACCCATAAAGGCTTTTCTTCTCCACACAGCTGCCATCTAAAATCCTACCCTTTCCTCAAGCCCATATTCTATGCCACTACATACATCAAACTTTTCTTGTTTCCAAGTCAGGTTGTTTATTTTTTTCAAGTTTCTCAGTCTTACTTTTTTATACTCTTACTGGATTTATTGCATTCATTGTGATTGTTTAGAAAAATGTTTTTCTTCTCCTGTTATTAATTGAATTTGATAGTTTTCTATTATATTGTGATGTTGTTGTTATGTGCCCTCAAGTCAGACCCGACTCACCGTGACCCCTTCTTGAGTTTCCGAGGCAGTATCACGACGGAAGTAGATTGCCCAACCTTAGGTTCGGTGGTTTGAATTTAATTTCCTTCCTTGTCATCCAAACCTTCCTGCCATTTGCAAATCAGAGTTAGAGTGTTAAAATGGTATGTTGCCCAATGTTAGTCCCTCATCCTGTAATCACTAGCCTATCTTCTGAGACTGAGGGACCCTCTACTAGTCTTGTTCTCTGGTCTTCCAACATTGCTCAGAGCTACTTTCTAACATTTTCTATGGTTAGGTGTTCATTTTATCTAATCTCCTAGATAATTTTGCTTCTTTAAACAGCGCAGCTTTTGAAATTACTGAAGCATACACAGTTTCTGGCTTGAGGCATCCTTCTTGCCTCCAAAATACCCCAGCTCAGAACTAGAACCTAGAGCAACATGTCCTGGCAGAATGCCAAGTGGATAGCCAGAGGGAGGAAACAAACAATTGCCACTACTACTTTTAAACCCAATCTACTTCTCAGATCACAGATCCAACAGATAAATTCAGGAGAGGACACACCAAACATCACTATATCTAGTCCCCCTAGAACTTTGAACAGAAGAGTTTAACTCCTTTATATTTGATTGTGTGTGTGTGTGTGTGTGTGTGTATGTGTTACATGTACATAACAGATTGATCTACTGAGGTAATAATGAAAATATTTGTTTTTATCTTCATGTCTTTCTGTAATGTAATAGAACCTCTAGTAACAAAATCTGTTTCTGAAAGACACATTTAGAAAATAGATGTGGGAACTGGAAGGGGAGCATTGTGGGGAAGTACTGCTCTGGAACTTGTAATTTGATTAGAGCCTGATTTGTGATTTACCTTGACTTGGAACACTTTTTTTTAAATAACACTGTAAATAAGATCACAGGGAAATTTTGGAATGGAGAGAAAATATTTTTAAGACACCCTTAAGTTTAGAAACACTCATTACTTACATTAATTAATACAATTTTTATATTAGGGAATTACAAAGCATTATGCAGGATACAAATTCAGAGTCATATAAATTACTGTCTATGCTATTATAGATAATTCTGACTTATACAATAAAACTTCTAAGAATACCCTACTACACAAAAAAGTATGTATCATTTTCAAGCATATTCTACTTCACATACCTGTTCATGTAGTTTATAACAAACTCTAATGAGATTTTGTTATAAACTTTTAATGATTAATAAAAATGAACAGACATCAATTTCAGAATTTAATAAAATCACTAATTTTTCTTTTAAATGTATCAAAACATAATCCCTATTTTATGTCTTAGAATGTCTACATATGATATTTATTTTAGAAATAATTGAGACTACTAAATTAATTTTTCTATTTTTTATAAAGTATCCTTTTTTTTTTTTTTCCAGGAACTGAAGTGAAAAAAATTGAGGCTATAAACATTCCTTGCACACAGCTTTCAATGGCATTCTTTGATCGATTATATGATGAAAATATTGTACGAGATAATGGACATATTGTCAAATGTTTAGATTATTTTTGTGATCCCTTTCTCATTTCTGATGAGTTAAGAAAAGTAAGTACATAATTTTAAAATTTCACAGTAGAGTTTTGTTTCAGGAAATGCAAAATGTCAAAATTTTTTGCCTGACTAAAATCCACAAAATATCTCTTACCAGTGAATAATGATCAGTGATAGTCATGACATTGGTAATGTAACACTTTTACATTCAACTTAACTACTTATGGATTTTACTGGTTCTCAGCTGAGGTGATTTTGCCCCCCAAGGAACATTTATGGTTGTCACAATCAGGGAGGGTTACATAGAGGTCAGGGATGCTGCTACACATCATACAATGTGTAGGACAGCCCCTCACAACAAAGAGTTTCCTGACTGAAAATGTCAGTAGTGCGAGGTAGAGAAACCCTGGTCTACTTAACAATTGTCACTTTTCTTCGCTATAGATCTCTTAACATACATGAGTATTTAAAAAATCCCTGGAGTAAATAAATAATCTTTTTTATCTCTTTGCTGTGATCAACAAAGCCATTTGATTAACTAAGTTAAATGTTTTGTTGAGAAGTGCACTGAATTAGGAATTGAATATATTATTTACCTGATTCTTAATTTATCATTTACAAGATAATAATGTTGTTGTTAGTTGCTGTCAAGTGGGCTCCAAGTCATGGTAACCCTATGTACAATGGAACAAGGCATTGCCCAGTCCTGTGCCATCCTCACAATCCTTGCTATACCTGAGCCCATCATTGCAACCACTGCATCTCATTGAGGATCTTCCTCTTTTTTGCTGACCCTTCACTTCACTGAGTATGATATCCTTCTTCAAGGAATGGTCCCTTCTGACAACACGACCAAAGTAGGTGAGACGAAGTCTGGCCATTCTCGCTTCCAAAGAACATTCCAGCTATGCTTCTTCCAGGACAGATTTGCTCCTTCTTCCATGGTACTTTAAGTATTATTCCATGGTACTTCAGTATTCTTCCCCAACTCCACAACTCAAAAACATCAACTCTTCTTTAGTCTTCCTTATTCATTGTCCAGCTTTCACATGCATATGAGGCTATTGAAAATACCATGGCTTGGGTTAGGTGCACCTTAGTCTTCAGAGAGACATCTTTGCTCTTCAGTATGTTCAAGAGGCCTTTTGCAGCAGATTTCTCAATGTAATACGACGTCTGATTTCTTGACTGTGGCTTCCCTTGGTATTGATTGTGGATCCACGTACTACAAAATCTTTATTGGCTTCAATCTTTTCTGTGAGAATTTTCATTTTCTTTACATTGAGATGTAATCCGTATTGCAGACTGTAGTCTTTAATCTTCATCAGTAAATGCTTCAAGTCATCTTCACTTTCAGCAGGCAAGGTTGTGTCATCTGCATATCTCTGGTTAATGAGTCTTCTTCCAATCCTGATGCTGGGTTCTTCATGTAGTCCAGCTTCTTGGATTGTTTCTTAGCATACAGATTGAATAAGTATGGTGAAAGGATGCAACCCTGATGTACTCCCTTCCTAATTTTAAACCATGCAATATCCCCTTGTTCTGTTCAAATAACAGCCTCCTGGTTTGTACGGGTTCCTCATGAACACAATTAAGTGTTCTGGAATTCCCATTCTTCTCAATATTATCCATAATTTGTTATGATCCACACAATCAAATGCTTTTGAATGGTCAGTAAAAACTAACATCTTTCTGGGGATTTTGGTTTTCAGCCAAGATCCATCTGACATCAGCAGTAATATCCCTCATACCAAGTAACCTCTTCTGAATGCAGCTTGCATTTCTGGAAGTTCCCTGTCAATATACTGCTGCAACCATTTTTTAATTATCTTCAGCAAAATGTTAGTTTTGTGTGGTATTAATGATATTGTTAGATAATCTCTACATTCTTTTGGATCACCTTTCTTTGGATTGGATACAAATATGGATCTCTTCCAGTCAGTTGGCCAGGTAACTGTCTTCCACATTTCTTGGCATAGATGAATAAGTGCCTCCAGCACAGCATCTGTTTGTTGAAACATCTCAGTGAGTATTCCATCAATTCCTGGAGCTTTGTTTTTCACCAGTTCCTTCAGTGCAGTTTCAATTTCTCCCTTCAGTACCATTGGTTCTTGATCATATGCCATCTCCTAAAATAGATGAACATTGACCAATTTTTTTTGGTACAGTGACTCTGTGGATTCCTTCCATCTTTTGATGCTTTTGCATTGTTCAATATTTTTCTCATAGAATCTTTTAATATTGCAACTCGAGGCTTGAATTTTTTTCTTCGGTTCTTTCAGCTTGAGAACTGCTGAGTGTGTTCTTCCCTTTTGGTTTTCTAACTCCTGATCTTTGCACATTTCATTATAATAATAGACTTTGTCTTCTTGAGCTGCTCTTTGAAATCTTCTGTTCAGCTCTTTTATCTCGTCATTTCTTTCATTTACTTTAGTTACTCTGTGTTCAAGAGCAAGTTCCAGAGTCTTTTCTGACATCCATTTTGGTCTTTTCTTCCTTTCCTGACTTTTTAATGACATTTTGCTGTATTCATAGATGATGTTTTTGAAGTCATCCCATAGTTCTCTGGTTTTTCGTATTGGTATGTGGTGTTCAGTGCATCAAATCTGTTCTTCATATAATCTCTCAATTCAAGTGGGATATAATCAAGGTCATATTTTGGCTTACATGGGCTTGTTTGAATTTTCTTCAGCTTCAGCTTGAACTTGCATATGAGCAATTGATGGTCTGTTTCACAGTCAGCTCCTGGCTTTGTTTTGGCTGAAAATATTGAGCATCTCTATTGCCTCTTTCCACAGATGTAGTTGGTTTGATTACTGTGTGTTCTGTCTGGCAAAGTCCACATATGTAGCCACTGTTCATGTTGTTGATAAAAAGTATTTGCAATGAATAAGTCATTGGTCTTGCAAAATTGTATCATGTGATCTCCTGTGTCATTTCTATCACCAAGGCCATATTTTCCAGCTCCTGGTGATCCTTCTTTGTTTCCAACTTTTACATTGCAATCATCAGTAATAATCAATACATCTTCATTGTATGTTTGGTCAGTTTCAGAATGTAGAAGTTGGTTAAAAAAAAAAAAAGCTTCCATTTCCTCATCTTTGGCTCTAGAGGTTGGTGTGTAAATTTGAATAACAGTAGTATGAACTGGTCTTCCTTGTGTGCATGTGGATATTATCCTATCACTGACAGGATTGTACTTCAGTATTGATCTTGAAACATTCTTTGTGACGGTGAATGCCCCGCCATTCATCTTCAATTTATCATTCCCAGCATAGATGACCATGTGATTGTCTAATTCAGAATGACCAGAACCTGTCCATTTCAGCTTAGTAATGCCTAGGATGTCAATCTTTATATGTTCCATTTTGTTTTTGACAGCTTCCAATTTTCCTACATTTATACTTTGTACCTTCCACTTTCCGATTATTAATGCTGCTCTTTCTTCCCTTTTTGAGTCATGCCCCATTAGCAAATGGATGTCCCAAAAGCTTTACTCCATCCATGTCATTAAGCTTGACTCTATTTTGAGGAGGCAGCTCTTCTGCAGTCATATTTTGAGTGCCTTCTGACCTGAATGCCTCATCTTCTGGTGCTATAGCAGACATTGTTTCAGAGCTATTCATAAAAATTTCCAGTAATATATCAGACAATGTTTAACTACTATTCAAGTTTTCACTGGCCAACTCTTTTGAGAAGTGGATTGGCCCCTTCCTTCTTCCAAGTGTTTCTTAGTCTGGAAGCTCCACTGAAACCCATACACCATGGTTGACCCTGCTGGTATTTGAAATACTGATGGCATAGCCTCCAGCCTCACAGCAACACCCCCCAAGCCACCGCAGTATGAGAAATTGACAGAGAGTGGTGGTAAGATAATAATAATAGCCTTAGGCAAATCATTCAATCTCCTGTGCCTCAAGGTCTTACAGTGTTTATGCCCAGTCTACCTGTTCCTGGAATCCTTGAGAAAATGATTCCAAAAGGATTTAAATGTCTTATTTTAATTTTTTAGTTATTTTGAAAGTATGGAATGCTATTAAAATGAAGTATATTGTTACCATTATAATTGCTCAAAAATATTGGATAGTGGTTAAAAATTAGGGCTTTGATATCAAATAGACATAGATTCAAATCCACACTCTGCCACTTAATAGCTATGATAATCTCTTTAAAACTCAGTTTCTTCATCTATAAAATAGGAATAATATGAGAATAATGTGAGATTATGTGTTTAAAGTGCAGTGAAAACTGATAAGTTTTAGATAATGTTAACAGCTACATTATTATTGTTATTCTACATTAAGAGAGGGGAGTTTCTACCGTATTACAAATCTAGATAGGAATTGACTGCCGATCCACCACTCTGTTCATGCGAATCTTATCTGCAGGAGATAGGAAAGCATCTAGCCAGTCTATACATTGATCTACAGTACAGCAATAGCAAAAGGACTCTTTTACTTAGTTTAAGAAAGTAAGATTAACTAATTGAGAATAACCAAATTCACACAATTGATTGAGATATATATGTAGTTTGCTTTTCAGTTAAATGAAGTATATTTATATATACTGCAAAACCCAAACCAAACCCACTGCTCTAAAGTCAATTCCAGCTCATAGCGATCCCCATTGGGTTTCCGAGGTGGTAAATCTTTACAGAAGTAGATTGCCCCATCCATGTCATGAGACAAAGTGTATGTTAACTGCTGTGTGAAAAGTGAATTTGCTCTGTAAAATGCTGATTAACAATTAAATGCCTTAGGCACTGCACCACTGGGGCTTCATATGTATTAACACAAGGCACAGTGAGGATCTGTTACTAATTTCTACTCTTCCTTACCTGTTATTGTTGTTAGGTGTTGTTAAGTTGGCTCCAATTTCTGGCAACCTTATATACAACAGAACGAAACCCTGCCCAGTCCTACACCATTTTCACAATCCCTCCTATGCTTGAGCCTCTTGCTGCAGCTACTGTGTCAGTCCACCTCATTTGAAGATCTTCCCTTTTTTCACTAACCCTCTACTTTACCTAGCATGATATCCTCTCTCCACAGTGA